CCTGTTCTTCCTCACCACCCTCTCCATCTTCCTCCTCCTCCTCCCCCTCCTCCTCCTCTCCGCTCACGTGCTCCTCTTCCCCTTCCTCCTCCTCATCGTCGTCGTCGTCCTCCTCCTCCTCCTCCAGGCCCTCCACGCAGCCCTCGCGTCCGAGTCCAGCGCCTTCTTGTCGCCGGTCGTAGCCGCCAAGGCACATGAGGTGCGGGGGGAGCTTGAACACATCTTCTCCGTGGTCGTGCAGGTTGGTCACCTCGCAGTTGCAAAGGTCTAAGCTCTTGAGGTTCCCTAACTTCTTCAGGGGCTCTATTGTGCTAAGGTCTTTAATTTTGTTGCCTCTTAAATTTAGATGCGTAAGATTCGGACACTTCTCTTGCCAATAGTTCCAGACCGCCTGAGATTCTGTTACCACTTAGTTCAAGCTTCTTGAGTTTAACTTTGGTTAAGTTCGCAGCTGAGGTGAGGCCAATGCTGATTGTACTTAAGAACTCCAGTTCTTCAAATTCATCTGTGAGGTCTTGGATGTTGCTGTCGTTCGACCGGCAGTTGTCCAGGACGAGTTCTTACACTTCAGAGGGCATCCTGTTCAGCAGCTCTAAGTGAACCGGTTTGTCCGTTTCCATCTCTCGCAGTCTCTCTACAGAGGCTCTGCGCCAGCGGAATTCAGTCAATAAACCCCGAACCCGCGACCGTGCGTTGTAGGACTTTGAGGGCTCAACCAGCTCTGCTCGGTTCTTGAGCCCCCAGCATCCGCCTCCTACAAATATTTCTAAACATTTTCAAATTCTATATTTATAAATTACAAATATATCGTAGGTCGTCTGCTGCCTGAGCACCACACCTTGAGCAGCATGCCATTCTTTGTACATCTCAGCTGACTTCCTTATTGATTTTCAAAGGCAATTTTGAAAGGGATTGGTTCCCTGTAGAAGTAGGTAGTTCTCCTCTTGCTTAACTTTTGGCCTCTTTTGATATTTAATATTTCCTCTTTAAAAACAGAAAAAAAAACCCAATAACCCCAAAACTTCTGCAAATACAGAACAGACTCTACTTTCATCAGAAAATCTGGTGTTAATATTTGTAGGTAAAGACGCAGAAATCACTACCTTTCAGTACGAACTCTAGGGTGCTTAAAATATGACTAAAAATGTTCATTGAAAGTGATAAACATAGTGCTAGCATCAGATTAAAAATAGGGCTTTGTTTTTTTTAAAGTCATGGTGCTATAGCCCTGCGCTGTACCCTTTAGAATTCTTTTTTCTCTCCAGCTTGGGCTTAGGTGAAAAGGAAGAGAATGGAGGAAATCAATGAATGCGTAAAAAGTAAAAATCATCACACACTATACTAAGGGCTAGCCAATCTGCTAAGTACTTATGTATCTTACTGAGTTTAAAAGAAGTTTGGCATTAAGTGCTATTTTAAAAAGTTATTATACAGTTTTCACATGCTGAAATGTAGGCACAGGTAAGTGGTGAAACTGCACACAGATGGGGGGCAGTTTGATTCAGCTCTTGTCTAGAGTGCTGTCTTCTGGGCAAAGAAGACAGAAGAAGAGTTGTAGTGAAGAGGTGAGCGAAACTGGAAGAGACACAAGAAGAGATTGGAAGGTGGAAGCTGGATGGGACAGAGAAAAAAGGAAGGAGATGGGAGAGAAAGGAGGAATGAATAGAGAAAAAGAAGATAGGGTAGGTGAGATGGTCAGGGAAGAGGGGTAGGTCAGAAGTTGACCTGCAGGGACAGCTGAAGCAGCAAAGGCTTTGAGTTTGAAGAAGACCCTAACAATTTCTGACTGGAAAATAGCAGTACTGTATGACTACTATAAATATTTTACATACATTACTGATTTAATCCTCAGAGCCAATCAATGAGAGAAACATTCTTCCTGTTATATCGAGAAGTCTCAGGATCAGAGAAGATGAGATAAATCATTTCTTCTTCCACAGAGAACGTAGTGGGCTTTTTTTAAAAGAGGAAAAACACAAATAAGAACAAAGACAGAAACAAAGCAACTTAAAACAATACAAACGGTACAGAATTTCAAAATATAAATAGAAAACTAACAATAGTTGTTATATGGTGTATTGTTATCATCAAATTTGTTACTCAGATTACCAGATATAAGTATACAAGATTGATAAAACAATTAAAAATTAACTCTTTCAATAAACCTTAGTTTTTTTCTTGTCTTTTTTATTTTTTATTTATTTGGAAGATCATAATAATAATAGACAAGACATTAGAGATGCTACACATTTAAAAGAATCAGATGTGTGTCTGATTTACTTCACTTAAGAGTATGGCCTCTAAAAAAATCAGGCCCCCCAAATTAAAGACCTAATCCAAAAATGGGCATCTGAGATGAATACACACTTCTCAGAGGAAGAAGTACAAATGGAAAATAAATACATGAAAAAATGGTCCACAGCACTGGTCATTTAAGAAGCACAAATTAAAACAACACTGAAGGGCCAGGGAGATGGCTCAGTAGAATAAGCACTTCCCTGGCAAGCGCAAGGTCCTGAGTTCAATCCCTGGTTCTGCAAAAAATTAAAAAAATAAATAAAACAACACTGAGATACCATCTCATTCCAGAAAGAATGGTTATTATAAAAATATCAACTAATAACAAATGCTGGAAAGGCTGTAAGGAGAAAGGAATGCTTCTCTGATGTTGGTGGGAATGTAGACTGGCACAAGCAATATGGAAAGCAGTGTGGAGACTCCTCAGAAAAGTAGGATTGGAAGTCACATGTAGCCCAGATATTCCCTTTCTGGGTATTTCTCCAAGAGAACTGAAAATATACCACAGTGATATATGTGCACACCTGTTTGTAGCACAATTTGTCATAGCTAAATCTTGGAAACAACCCAAATGCCCATCACCTGCGGAATGGATAAAAAAGATGTGGTATTTTTATACAATGGAATATTACTCAGCTATAAAGAAAGATAAACTTGAAGGCTTTATAGGTAAATGGATGCAATTAGTGGGCTTTTGCATCCAAAGCAACTCCCCACAACCCAAAACAAAAGCTCTCATTTTCTTGGACCAGCCCATGCACTTGGTTTATTTTTATCTTTGATCCTTTCTTCTATTCACTTGATTCTCTCTTCTCAGGTAGCCAAAGAAACTTTCCACAGGGCCATTTCTTTTTGTAGTTTAAGGCTAAAGGTTAAGCCAGACAAAAAAGCAACATTAATTATAATACCATTTGAACAGGTGCATTGGGATTACTTGGAAAGTTTTTTTCCCAAGACTGAGGGGAAAGTTTGGAAAAATTGGAGAGGAGAAAGAAATGTTCCTGGAAGAAGTATTGCTTGAATTAAATTTTGATGAATGAAGTCAAAAGAGCAGTATGACACAGAAATTTTGAATGAATTTTGTTGATTGCACAACAAAGAACATGATCACTTGTCTTCTTGTTCAACTTTATCCTAACTGTAGTACTGGTAGATTATTAAATTATCTAATGTTATGGTCAGAGATTCACCAAACTATTCAAATAGTACACTAGCATGGCACACTAGCAACAAAAACCAGAACTCTCCTTTTGTGTCCCAAATGATGGAACACTTTAAAAGCTCTTGAAGAGATTGAGAAAGATGCCTTTCCTCCAGCCACAATGTTACAAATGTCCTTCACCATATAGATTGGAAATTTGTGCAGGGAACCCTCTGTCCAACCTTTCCCAGAGGCTCAGAGGAGGTATATCAGAGGTTGCCCCTAGGCCTAACCCTAAAAGGCTAATGTTGCTTCATAGAATTTCATGAGTTCAGGGATGAATCTTCCCTCTTCTGCTTGCTTTCCTCCAGAAACTTCTGTTTACTAATTTGGTATTAAGAAAATTTGCTCACACTCTGTGATGGGATCCTCTATTCTACTTGCAATGTTAGGTTTCTTTTTAAGATGCAGTTAATATGAAAGTGAAATATATTTCTTATGTTTCCATCAAACTCTGAAAAAATAAAGACAGACGAAAATGACCTAACATTACCAAAACAAACAAACAAACAAACAAGCAAACAACCCAAAAACCAAACCCTAGCAGAACTTAGCATGAGGACATACTTTATTTATGAAAATAAAGGGTATTCCTACCTTCTTAAGATGCAAAGTATGTCTGTGTTAAAAATGATAAAACTTAAGAAGCCATTATGAAAGAAATCAAAGAAAGAACTGTGACTGACTATAGAAAAAAATGCATGATGTTAAACTTAATGAAAAGGACTTGAATTTCAATGGGATTCATTCCTAACATAATAAAATAGGTGGTTGTATTACTTGTGGTCCTACAGAGAAACAGAACATATGGCTTATTATGAAGGAATTAGCTCCAGTGATGAAGAGGCTTACAGAGTTCAAGATTTTCAGACAGCAAGCCGAAGACCTAGAGAGCCAATGGTGTAAGTTGTAGTCTAACCCAAATGTTTTAGAACCAGGATTGCTGATGGTATAGTTCTAGTCCAAAGAAGGATAGACTCAAGCCCCAGGAAGAACCAACATTTCAGTGCTGGTCTAAAGGCAGAGAAAAACTGATGTCCTATTTCAGCATCAATCAGGTAGGAGGAATTCTCTCTAATCTGAGGGAGAATGAGCCTTTATATTGTATCACCTTCAATTTAATATCACATCAACTTCAATTATATTACCTTCAGTTTGATTGTATTGCATCACTTTAGGGAGAGTAACCTGCTTTGCTCAGAATACTTATTAAAGTACTAATCTTATTCAGAAACATGCTCACAGTTGTGCCTGGAATAAAGTTTGAAGAAATAACCTGCTCCTCCTCCCCAGACCTGTCAAGTTGACAAAAAGTAAACATCACAGGAATGCTTAATTGAAAAACAAAACAAAAAGAACTGCTTGGACAACAAAATTGCAAGAAGTTTTAATAAAATAATTCTTAAAGGCAAAAGAAAGAACAGGCCCCGAACAGAAATCAGCATTTGCAAATATAACACAAGTTCTACTGTTCAGTACGTTGTAGTATGGCTTTGAACTCGCAGGGGAAGTTATATAAAAAAATCTAAAATTCTTTTGGCATTTTTTGACTGCAGCTGATAGGTAAACAAATAGCTAAGAGCTATTTGTGTTGCTAAAAATTG